ATAACTGCGACCATAGGTATGGTGTTAGCCGTCCGGACATTCATGCAATACGAACGACGGATCAATAATCCCAAGCCGTTTGTGGCACCAGATTATGGTTATCCCAAACAACAGTACGAACAGTGAATTTGTTTTAATAATCGCTTACTTTTTCATTTATAAATTAATTGTTGTTTGGTTTTAACATTTAATTTAAATACAGAATTTTCTTAGCTCAAGATTTAAACTATTTTTATTATAATTATAATTACTAGAACTAATTACTTTATTAAAAAACAATATTAAATAAATAATATTATAGTTTAACAACTTTAGCATAAATACCATGTTTAGGGGTTGAGGTCAGAACTTTGCATTCAGTCGTCAACTTTCCCATCTCTGTCTTCGGGCCGGGAATTAGTCGATAGTTAAGTAGGAGTTTAGCCAAACAAAGTTTGGCCTTAAATAAGGCAAATCTCAATCCAATGTAATTTCGTGGACCACTTCCGAAGGCTTGCCATGAGTTCGGGTGAATCTCGTGCTGCCGGTCGGCGCTATACCTCTCGGGATTGAAGACCTCGGGTTCGGGCCAATAGTCCGGGTCGTGGTGTAGATAATGGACTACCACTTGTACTGAAGTACCCTTTGGTATAGTTATTAAAAAGTAAATTGCGCGAGCTTTTAAAAATGATACACAAAATAGTAACAGAAAATTTGGAATACGGTTGAAAATAATCTCAATGTTGTTATGATTTAAATAATTGATTGATTTAATGTATAAAACATATAATGGATATGAAGAGGAGTCCCATCGCCAGTAAATATAACAGAGAGACCGCACTCTATTACTCTTGTTTTAAATGCATTGGCTGTTCAATTGTGGGCTCAATCATAATTGTTTTCATCGGTTCGTTACTATTGTTTACATCAATGAATGAATGGTTCGGAAGCGACCAAAAGAGCGGCGCTAAGAGAGTGGCCATAATTGTGATTATCGTCGGAGTGTTAGCTCTTATAACTGCGACCATTGGTATGGTGTTAGCCGTCCGCACATTCATGCAATACGAGCGGCGGATCAATAATCCCAAGCCGTTTGTGGCACCAGATTATGGTTATCCCAAACAACAGTACGAACAGTGAATTTGTTTCTATCGTCAATAATCGCTTACTTTTTCATTTATAAATTATTTGTCGTTTGGTTTTAACATTCAAATTGAATACAGAATTTTTTAGTTCAAAGTTTAAACCATTTTTATTATAATTACTAGTTATTTGTTAGTTATTTCTAAATAATATCAGTTGTCATTTCTTTTGTATTTATAAATTACCCGTTTTAAATATTTTGTTAAATTTGTTTTAATAAAATTTTATAATTTATAAATATGTTTAATTTTAGGAAATGTTTTTACAACGTGAACAAATTAGTATTAAGCATTAGTTTTTTAATAAGAAGTTAAACATAAAAAGTTTATTTAAATGTTGTGTAATATATACTTAATGTAAAAAGTGTTTCTAATTTTTTAAGTAATTAAACTGTATATAAAAAACAATATTGAATAAATAATATTATAGTTTAACAACTTTAACATAAATACCATGTTTAGGCGTTGAGGTCAGAACTTTACATTCAGTCGTTAACTTTCCCATCTCTGTCTTCGGGCCGGGAATCAGTCGATAGTTAAGTAGGAGTTTAGCCAAACAGAGTTTGGCTTCAAATAAGGCAAATCTCAATCCAATGCAATTTCGTGGACCACTTCCGAAGGGTTGCCATGAGTTCGGGTGAATCAAGTGTTTTTGGTCGGCGCTAAACCTCTCGGGAGTGAAGACCTCGGGTTCGGACCAATAGTCCGGGTCGTGATGCAGATAATGGACTGCCATTTGTACGGAAGTACCCTTTGGTATAGTTATGTCCTTATATTTGTAGTCCTGAAGACATTCTCGGGACACAAATGTAATGACCGGCGGATATAATCTCATGGTTTCGTTGAGAACACATTCCATGAAATCCAATTTATTTACACAATTGTAGTCCAGTTTACCCTCATTTTCATGGAGTTGTCGCACCTCTTCTCTCACTTTTTCCTGTATATCGGGATAATTGACGAGAATGTGAGCCATATATCCGAGTGCTGTACTCGTCGTCTCATATCCCGCTTCATAGAAGAGTACAGAATTGGATTTAATTTCTTCTTCACTCAATAAAATATCTGACTTTTTATTTTTAACAAATTTATTAGTATTTTTGTCCATTTGTTTATCATTTCCCGCAGTCATAGTCTCGTAACTCATTGAAGACATCTCTTCACTCGATATCTTCGAGTCTAACATCAGTTGTAATAAATCGTTTCGACAAAGACTTGGGTTTTGTTTTCTCAAATCAATCACATCTCTCGCCATTTCAAAGAGTATTCCGTTCGCAGACTTTCCTCTTTTACATTCAATTATGTAATTAAGTCTTCGAAACGGATATAGAATTAAATCAAGTTTTGGAAAGCATTGGATTATGAAAAATATCCAATTATTGAGATTTATGTTAAATATATGTTTAGCCGCTATTAAAAACTTATTGTCTTCTTCGTTTTGAACATTACTTTGAATACCAAAAGCTGTTCTTCCGATTACATCAGTCGTCAGATTCTGAAACATATCGTAAATATTGAATTCTTCGTTATTTTCGGAATAATTATCAATAATTTCAATAAAACTATTGATCGCATCGTCTATAATGGGTGTCATTGTCTTGAGTTTAGATGCGCTGAAAGTTGGCGTCAAAACACTTCTCACTTCTTTCCAACGCTTTCCCTTAAGTCTGATTATCATTGCCTCTAATCCCGGATCAGCGAGAATACCATGTTTTAAAACCAGATGCGGTCTATCGGCAAATGATTGAAAGTTCTTCGTTTGAATCCTCTTCGCTAAGTCCGGATCGGCAACCAATACATGAGGTTTTGAGCCCATATAATAACCAACAATTTTACCATATGCTTTGACCCATTTGTTGTGTGTTGAAATGACTGGTGTTTTAAAATATTCAAATATATTACCAGACATTAGATGAGGTTTTGGACCCGGAATGCCGTTTCTTGACAGTACAGACATGTGTCTCACTCTCTGTCTAATCCAATACACGATTAAACCTATTATTCCTAATACAATCACTAATAACATGATAAACACAATAAATTAATTACAATCACTATTAATATAACTTTTAAATTATTGTAAATTTTATATCAGAAAATTTTATCACAACTTTAAAAAATGTGATAACAAACTCTTGTATTTATATAAAGATATCATAGTTTCCGAGAATTTTTTAATTTCTTTGAAACATACTTTCATTCTAAGTTTCACTCATATCTCTAATGATTTTTTAAGCGATTTATGTGAATATGATTTATAATGGCATCTATTTCTCAGTATAATCAATCAGAGTATTGATTGGAAAACTGGTTTAATACAGAGTTTGTATTTGAAAGCATCGGTTAATCAATCTACTCATACAGCCTATGGTTAGGCTATAAGGAGCACATCACCAGCTTTTCTATCCCATTGACACTCTTTCAGTGAAATTCTTGTTTTTCTACGAATTAGTGGCTTTTTATTGAATTCAAGACAGACATGGGTTTCCCTGCATTCCTAAAATTATTTCAATTCTTGTAAAAATATCGCAATTTAAAGTATAATTTTAACTTTTGTCAGTTTTCATTATATGCCCTTATGTACAGTGTACAGTAAATTACATAATTTATAATAGCTTTCTATTTAATTATTTGATATTACTTTATAATTAATATTTGACTTTTAGTAAAAAGGTTTTATAACTTATAATTGTTTATTAAGTGTAATACTTTATAGTAATTATAATATAGTTTTTAATAAAGTTATGTTTTAATTGTAAAACCAATTATTTATTATTAATTATTATTATTATTATGTATTATTATCAATACTGTTAATAAAAATTAATACAAAACATTATTACAATATTAGTTTTATTAGGGATTGAAGCAAATGTAAAGATAATTCATTCATTGTATGTATTAATCAATATTGTCAAAGTAATTATTAATTACTTTTTAATTACTTATAATTTGCATTAAATTTGAAGTTTAAAAGTATTACTCTCTTTATATTTCTGATTCAATGAATGCATGTTTTAAATAATAATAGTCTTTATTGAATCAATAATTACATAAATGAATCTTTAGGCCAAAAAACTTTTATTTTTATACAATTAAAATTTGTTTTCCATACAAAATGATTGGTGTCTACAACTAATCGGCGTTTATTTATAATGACTTGTATTTGTTGTATAATTAATGTCTTGTAAAGAGTTGTTTGAAAACATCTCTAAACTTATTGAGTAAAGACAGACTTATGTAATGTGTTATACAATCTTATAAATTGTACTTTTATTAACACTAATAACAAGTAAATTATTTTTCTCATTAACTCTCTCTCTCTCTCTCTCTCGCATTCAATAAAGAAATAAAATCAATTGAAAACGAAAATCAATTTTTATTTACTGATATAAAAGTGGGAAATATTTTTTTCAAATCAGATATGAATTCTTTTTGTGGTTTCAAAGAGCGAACAAACTCTTGTAGACCTCCTTGAGTGCGGACAAGTGGGCCCTCTTCTCACGCATCGTATCCGTGAACTTGTGGGTCGAGTCGCCCACCGGTTGGCCGCCAATCGTCAGTCTCTTCACGGCCTCCGAGTCTTCTTTCAACGCTTTGTACGACTCTTTGAGCGCCGAAAACGATTTGAAACACTGTTTCCACTCATTCTTCGCGCCGTCCGTCGACTGGTCTTTCAGGTGCTGATAGTAGGCGTCGGTCACCACAAGCAACGCCTCCATATGTCGGCAACTTTTGCCGCATTTCGACCAATCGATGGCTGAGTAGACGCGCGCCGTGTGGGCCACCGCTTCCGCCGATTTGCCGCAATCCATGTAAGTCTTGGCGATCTTCAGCGACAGGTCCAACATTTCTCCGCATTCGCTGAAATGCAAACCAATCAATGTTTGCAGCGATTCTTCCGCTTTTTCAAGACATGACTCGATTTCGGCCATCTTTTCGGCCGACAATTCAATCTCCGGTTCGGTTTCAACGATGTCTTCGGCCTCCGGTTCAGTCTCAACGATGTCTTCAATCTCAGGGCTTTTTTCGCTCTTTTCGTCGCTTTGAATCTCTTCTTCAGCGCCCGAATCGGTCTTTTCTTCCTCAACGCGTTCTTCTGATCCATCGGCGAACTGGTCGTCGAAGTCGTGGCCCTCTTCGGCGTCATTCCGCACATTCTTCGGCGGATTCCGGATATTGTCCACAGTTTTGAGCGCCGCTTCGAACTCAAGTCTCGTAAACGCGATCCGATTGACCACTTCTTTCATGTTTGGGTAAACGGTTCCGCACTTTAGACACGCGTTGTTGTCATCCCTCATAGGATTCGCCACAAACAGCGCCGGACCCTCGCATTGGAGACATTTGAGCGCCGGATAGTTCCTCACCTGATGGACGCATACATCGCAACCGCAGCTGAAATGGTAGTGATTCCGGAGAACGACTTGTCTTTGCTCTAAAGGCATATAAGCGTTAGGACCGTAACAAATGGTCAACTCTTCGCCGTCTTCGACATCTCTGGCAGTCGTCAGAATGATTTTGTCCTCAAAGAAGTGCCAATTCATGTTCGGAGCGCACGAGTGGTTCACGAGAGAGGCGTAGACTGTAGTACACGAGCCCACGCTATAAGAGCCGCCGTCGGGGGTCCGGATGTTGTAACCAAAGCTATTGGTCATCGCTTTGCGGTATATCTTCACCAAAAAGGCCGCGAACTCCACAAATGTCTTCTCTTCGTATGTGACGAATGACTTCTTGTGTTCGCAAATGACAGCCATTTCGATGGCGTTCAGCGCCTGACGGACGGCCTCTTCCGGAGTGACCTTTTCGTTGTGATCGACTAAAGCCAAGAGTCCTTCGAAGTGGTGTCTCTGCTCTTCGCGGACCAATCGATAGACGACCGGACAGTCTCTGGCGTAGAAGCGATTCACCCATTTCTGGCGGTCAAAGTCCGGGCGCTCCGAGTCTTGAGCCGTTTTGAAGGCATATTCGGCGCCAATTCTGTTGACAATACGAAACGCTTGATATGCGGGGCTTTGGGACAAAAGACCAGTCATTTTGCACTCGTACTGATGGAAGTCGCGGATCCCTCTGTCATGACAGGTGCGGTCACAGAACACCACTTCTGAACACCAAACACACGGCCAGAACTGATGCCCGACTCTCTTGAAACAGGCCGTACAGAAGGAGCGCATGTTTTGGGCCGAAAGCACCACTGATTCGGGTTTCTCTACAACGACTGCCTCTCCTTTCGGTATCTTCTCTTTGGCGACCAAATGCCGTCCCTTAGAGTCCGTCGCTTTGACCTCAAACTTCTGGTGAATCCATAGATCGTAGTCCTGTTCCCTCTCCGGCTCTTCATCGCGTCCGCGGCTCTCAAAAGCGATCACTTCTTTGGCCAACAGTTCTTGCGTTTCATCCAATTTCTCCAACACTTCAGGCTTTCCTTCTTTGGCGTAATATTCGCGGGACTGAAGGACTGCGTCGACCAAACTCTTGGCTTCTGTAAACCGTCTGAGCGCTCGCAGACAACTGGCCTTTTGGGACAACATATCCAGACTCGAGCCCAAGAAGAGTGACTTCTCTGTGTCGAAGAGCGCGTCCTCGTAATGACCGATTCGGAAGAACGCCAGCGATCGGGCGGTGTATGCCTTTTGGAGTTCAGTACACTCGGCGCCAGTGGTCGGGAACGGGGCGTACAGTAAGGCCTGAGTGTAGCACTGGATGGCAGTCCCGTAACTCTTGGCCACCATATGATTGTCGCCCTCCTCTCTGAACGCCTGTGTCTTCTTCAAGTTCTTTGAGTGCTCTCCGATGTATTGGTTCAGCCTTTTGGTGATGTCTTCGCGAAACGCTTGCAATGGTTTGACATTTTTGAAGATATAATCGATCCGTTGGTCGTTAGTGTCCAGCCCTCGGAACTCCTCATCTTTGGACAATTGTGCGCAAATGGCGGTGAATTCCTGTCCATCGGAAGCCATTGAGGACTTGTACTGTCTGTCTGTGGATCTGATGAATGGTTTGATTTTACAGATAATGTTTGCTTCGGATTTGCGGTTAGAATTTGATTCCTGTTTAGTTTAACGACAATTTTGCTAATGATTTGAATTTTCCGTTTAATTCATAGCAAATCATTACAACATTCATGAGTCGCGCGAATTCGTTATTAACCATAATTTACATACAATTTATGCACTAATTGTTTGTTCACGTATTGATTATGTAAACCAATTGTCATCAAAAAGTGCCCAAAGTTTCCAAAGCCGTCGACGACCGCAACAAATGTCAAACCTCTCGTGTCTTGAGATTGTTTTGTCTGTCATTTCTTGTATTTCTTCGTGTATTTCATTAAATTTCATCGTTTTAATAGACAATCACTTAAAAGTACACTTAAATTAATGAATTTTAATAGCTTTATGTAAAATAAAAACACAATTAGAGTTACTTTTCAATAAACTTCATTTGATTGAAAGTTTTACTTCACTTTCAATCAACAGTTTTTCAATCAAACAGTGAATAAACATCCAATCAATTAGTTTTCTCAAACATTTACTTCTCATTTCTTTATAACATACAGTAAATGTTGGCTAAAATATGGTTACAGTATGTGTTGCAGTGTTTGACTACAACTTTACTAAAACTATATGTTGTAAAACTATGTTGTCGTTCAACAGTATTGTAGACAGAGATGCTATGCATTTAATGTGTATCGCATGAGTTGTTCGGCCAAAGAGTGCCGAACAATGGTTAGGATTAGACCACAAATACATTATAGATTTGTATTTAAATCGGTCCGACTTTACATCATATGATTTGATTTAATGTGTGCTAATCATCCGCACTGTTATACAAATAATAAAATAAAGTTTTAAAAGTTTAGAGCATTTTGTGTTATGAACTAAATGGTCCAATAATTAGCACTCATCAAGGATCATTTATAATCGTTTTTGAGTTTAATTCAATTGTAATTATTGATTTTCCAATAAAAATGTAACCATTCATTGAATCAATCATACGATACAATATTTTAAGTCCAAATACATTAATTTGATTATTTTTTTGCACCAAAAATATTTGTACTCATATTTTTTAAAACTTTTTAAAAGTTCAAATTTATTGCACATAAAATCTTTATGTCTCACATTATTTTAACATTATTAAATAATTTACAAGTTAAATATATTTCTGTATATTTTTAATTATCTTAATTATTATGAAGTAATAAATAAATACAAACAATATTTTTACAAATTGTATACAAAATTAATGTTAAGTTTTATCAAATGCAGACCTGTTTATTAGGACTGAATGTCTTATTAATAACAAGTTATTATGTACTTTTAAAATGTACTCAAAATGTACGGCGAATTATGTACTTAATTATAAATATTTATTTTATATAAATATATAGTAAATTACATAAATTGTATTACTTTGTATTACTATACTGTACATATATTTTTGATATAAATATCTCTAATTTTCCTCAGTAAATCATTTCTCAAATATTGTTCAACGTTTATTATTTTACATATAAACTCAATTAAATATATAATTTGAATTTAAAATGTTTAGTCTTGTAGATTTATCCGTAACTTCATGGATTGGTTTAAGCATTTTGTCACTAATTACGCTAATTTATTGGTAATTATAATTTAAATTTAATTTCAGTTTGTTTGTTTGTAAAACTTACTACTTAATCTTAAGTTTATAAGCAATTAGTAAAATTATTGTTTAATTTAGGCGTTTTACCCAAACGTTTAACTACTGGACTAAACGTAACTTAAATGGACCTAGACCATATCCATTTGGGGGCACAAATTTGTACACATTTGTCAAATCAATGCCTGCCGTAGAGTTGGAGTGGTATAAGAAATTTGGACCACTTTATGGGTAAGCAATAAAAAACACTATTAATAATTGTATTTTAAATTTCGCCAAACATTTATCCATTAAACAGAGTGTTTAACAAAACAGAGCCCATCCTAACGGTGGCCAAACCGGAACTGATTAAAACAATTTTGGTCAAAGACTTTCACCTGTTCACAGACCGTCGGACACGACCGGCCGCTCATCACGTGTTGGACAAGAATCTGTTCCACTCGAGAGGCGAAGACTGGAAGCGCTACCGATCTATAATGAGTCCGACATTCACGTCGGGAAAGATGCGCAAAATGTATCCAATGATCAGAGAGTGTTTGAACGAGTTTCTCGATGTGTTGGACGTGTCGGCGGCCAATGGGGCGGACATTAACCTGAAGGACATGCACGGGAACTTCACGATGGATGTGATCGCCC